TAATTTATATAAATAATTGCAGGCTGGGCCGGCCCTAAAGTATTGGGCCCAGGCCTGGCCTGGAAATTTGCAGGCCTGATGGGGGACCAGGCCCAGGATGGGCCTGAACACAAAACCTAGGCCCAAGCCTGGCAATTTGCAGGCCTGATGGGGGACCAGGCCCAGGATGGGCCTGAACACAAAACCTAGGCTCAAGCCTGGAATTGCCAGGCTGGGCCAGGCTGAGAAGGATCATCTTTAGGTGTTTCTCTTTTCATGTATAGGATGTTCCCCATTTATCAACAATGGGATGTGCCTGAATTACTATGATTTTTTTTTCTGCACATTCTTTTTCTTTGTTGGCATACACATTCTGTATTTTCTTCATTACATATGTTTCCTACATTCTGCATAGAATCAGCTCTTGTTTGATCAAATAAAATAACACATGATCTGTTTAACCTATATTTTTTTATAAACAATGAAAACTAACTCCAAACTGGCTCTTCAGCTTGCAAAGTTAGCTGGAAATATGGTTGTTGCAACTTGTGGAGGTGAACAAAAGGCTGCACTATTGAAGGATTTGGGGGTAGATTGTGTCATCAATTACAAAACTGAAGACATCAAAACGGTATGTCTCTAGAATTCTTTTCTTTCCTCCTTGGGGGGAGGGGGGGTCAGTGGAGATAGAATCACTTGATGCTCACAATACAGATTATTGCTAATGGAGATATGAGCTCCACCCCATTAATATTTGGTGGTTTAGTTGGAATATTCCATTTGGAGATATGTTTTTCTTTTTGCTTCAGAAGAGGAAACAATAGAAAAAATGAATGTTTTTTTTTTTTGTCTTTTCTGAGCAGGAACTAATGATATAATTATATTAATTTTTGTCATTGACAGATACATATCAGAAACAACAGAAAAGTATATAAGATGTAGGAAATAGGAGTCTTGACTCTAGACAGAGGAAAGGATCTCAAATTCAAAACAAAAATCCCCCATACTCATCATAACATACACTGGAATCTCAAGAGAAGAAAAGAATAACCAAGAATAAAAAATTAGAAAACTTCACAGAACTGGAGAAACATGCATATTTAACACCTCAAAATGCAGCTTCAATGCTTACCAACTGGAACAATAAAAGGAATTCGTTTTGTAGAAGGATGAACACAAAGACATGTGATACCAGATCTGTTTCCCCATTTCAGGGAACTGAAATTCCTTCCAAGTTCCATCAGAGAGCTGAAACCAGAACAATTAATGTACCTATATACTTACTTCTTTCCTCCTATGGTAGAATCCTTTCTCAACCTCTTTTGAAACGCTGCTCACCTCCCAAGACAAACCAAAAAAATGGAGAAAAAGAAAGAAGAGAAAGAGAAGGAAAAGAAAACGCTTTAATCTAAGTACTTCACTGTCCTTTTCATCTAAACAAAATGTCCTCCCTGAATCCAAGCCAATGCAGTCATGTGATCATTAGTAAATCTCGTCCTCCTTGCTGTATCCCTACCTTCAATATGTTAACAGACTCATTAGCCTGTTGATTCACTATCATGGGAAGAAAAGAATCAGCTTTTTACTAATCAGTATGGGTGATTTTTTCTATTTGTCTAATTGGATTGTGTTTTAAAGTTTTTGTATGATAAGGTAAGCCATGCAATAAATTAATGAATATTCTTTTCTACTTTATTTCTTATTGTTTCTGACCTACCTTCATTATGCATATATAACATTGGTTATAACAACAAATGTAATAGTCATGCTGCCTAATAGTCATGGAATACATCTTTCTAGATATTGGGGAATGTTCATCTTTCTCAAAATAAATAAATAAATAAACATAAAAGGGTGAAAAGAAGAAATGCTTGTTGGTTAAAAAATGGGAAATGAAGATGGTGGCATCATGTTTTCTAAGCCCTATTATACTCAAAATTCAATAAAGCTGAATTATTTGTTATCCTATTCAAGAATCATGTAGACTGGTTAGTGATTTAAAGTTCTATGTAAGTTTACAATATTTAATTTTTGCTTGCTCCAGGTCCTTAAGAAGGAATTTCCCAAAGGCATTGATATTATATATGAATCTGTTGGTGGCGAGATGTTAGATCTCTGCTTGAATGCACTAGCGATCTATGGACGGCTTGTTGTAATTGGGATGATTTCTCAGGTTGTACACTTATCAGTCCACATATACGAATGGTTTCTTCAAGTACAGAAATGTTCCTTAAATTCTATACCATCACTCTTCAAATGATCCATTGCCATCATTTTTGATACATTATGCTGATTCCATAGAAAGATTAGGACTTCCAAAGGAAATAATCCATAAATGGGAGTGTGAATTCTCATATAAGCATCGAAATATTGACATATCTATGCTGTATATCATTTGCATGAATTTCCTACACTAGTTTCTATCTTTCTGTTCATGGAATTGATCTCAATATCAATGCATCAATGTGTAATCTCCTAGTAACATGCAAATTGATTACAAAAGCACCATAGGCAGATTTCTCTGCCTCAAATCTTTACATGGCCTGAATTCAACCACTTAAATATATAATGGTTGGAAATACTTACTGCACTACCTTTAATTAAAAGAAAATGCATAAAACAAAATAGCAGATACTCGAAGGATTCCTCTTATATAGCCTTCTTCAGAAAAATAAAAAAGAAACTTATATCATTAGCCCAAAATTGAAACAACAAATGTCTTCCTACAATAGACTTGGCTTTTTCAATTGAAAGAATTGTTCCACTGATGCCTTACGGTCCTCTTAATTGTTGGACATTTTTTTTTTTTTTAAAGTTAAAGTGTTTTGTATTAAAGTATAAAATCAGAGGGTCTATAAGTAGGTTCCTGTACAAAGAGTTTGTGTATAATTTAGACAACCATTAAGGATCCCCCCCCCCCCCAAAAGTCTTTTTTTATCAGCAACAAAGAATTTTAAATTTATTACTAAAAACAAAGAATATACAAAATTACAAACAAGGCTGAAAACAATTAAGCTTTTCTTCCACCTACATGATTTTCAAACAGTTTCTAATTAACTTTTACATTACAAATTTACAATAGAACCTAGAAAAGCTATATCCATGTTGCCTCTTGTTTAGCAAGAGAATCAGCCAAAGCATTAGCTGATCTTTGAACCAGCTATATTGTTAACTGCATATTCCTTGAGAACCATCTGAATCTTTTGATGATCCATTGTGCACTACCTTCCTTCATCAGCCAACTTATTGCTATTTTTGAATTTCCTTCAATAATCAACTTTTCCACTCCCAATTCCACTGCCTTTTGCACAGAAAAAATTGCTGCCATGAGTTCTGCCCTGAACCAACTTTCCTTCACCTATTGGGCCTGAAAACATTGCATGTACAGTGCTATTTGCATCTCTTAACATCCTCTGATTGCAAAAGGTCCTGGGTTGCCCAAACTGCTTCCATCAAAGTTCAACTTCATAGATCCCTTCTCAGGTAGGGATTGACTTCTTAACTCTATCAGTTTTCTAAAAGATGAGCCTATTACTTCTCCCCCCATCCTCCCCAACTTCTAATAATTCCATATATTGTGTAATCTGAAAAAAGATCCATAGTATTCACCCAATGTGCCAGTGTCACCTTTACTATAATTGTTTCAATTATTGCCCCCTTGCTTCTCAACGTGTCCTCAAAAGTATGAGCATTCCTTTCCTTCTTAATAGTAAAAACCAAAGCCACCCTGGTGCATCTCCACATTACCCTTTCTCTTCTTTTTGTCCACTTGAAGATATTTGATTCGAAAAACCTATCCAAGCTTATAGGAGAGGTCCACCTGCACTCAAAAAGAGAAAAGAACCATTTCCAAATACAAGAAACAAATGGACAGTCTAATCATGCTAATTTCTGAGTTAATCACCACCTCTTTCAGATTAGTCTTCTGCTCAACGATGTTTTATTCCTTTCAGTTCAAGCCAAATGGCCCATCACTTCTAAAGGTATAATTGCCTAACATGCTTTGCCTCACTTAGACACAGTGTTTTAAAAGAGCAAGGTGCAAAAAAAGCACAAGGGGCAATTTGTGCATGAGGCACAAGGTGCAAGGCAAGGCGTGTGCCTTTTCAAAGCAAGGCGTAAAAATAAAAAAAAAATGCAAAAAAAATATTAGACATAATACTAATACAAATAGAAACTTAAATTTTAAAATAAATATTTAAAAAACATATTTTCTAGAGTTAAAATACATCAACATAACATGTAAAGTATATTCAAATGAAAATTTAAAAATAAAATTAAACATATAAAACATTTTCAAGCATGTAAAACCCAATTTTTTTCCTCAATTGCATTACTTCAAATAGCTAATGTGATGTAAAACATCTTGCATTCTTGATTCTACGAGCCACCTTTGTACCAATCCCCTTGAGGCAAGACCAAACAAGTCCGTGTTATGGTCTTAAATTCTTAATCCTTACACAAAAAAATGATTTTATAATTTTAATTTCCTCTTAAGAAGATATTTTACTAGGATGGATGAATGAACAACATTAGCAAATAGGGGGTTCTAGGAGCTCTGGTGGGAGCTCCGCCCCCTCGACTTAGCCGCTAGGTTCCATAAAGAACAAAAAGTTCGAAAAATAAAAGGCGCACTCCTGAGCTGAAACACAAGGTGCACCAGGTGCAGACCTTTAAAGTGCTGCACCTAGGGCCTAGATGAGGCACATACCTTAAAATGCACTTCACCTGAGCGCCTAGGCACACCTTTTAAATCATTGCTTAGACATACCTTGAACTTGCCAACTAGCTGGAAGAGCCTTCACTGACATAGAAAAGCATCTATAGACGGGAACAACTTTGCTAAAATGATGTCAAAATTTTAACATAAATTTTGCATAAGAGGAAAAGATGATTCAAGGACTTGATGTCAGTAGAAAGGTTTGGACAACCTGTTTTGATATAAAAATTGTAAAAGAAAGAAGAAAAGAAAGAGGAGAAAAGGTTTCAGCTAAGAAAGAGAGAGATGAGAGATAAAAGAGAATGGGAGAAGCTCAGAAACAACTTCCTAGGTCAAAATTGAAGAGTCCTACTAAAACAGGACTCTCCCCCTTTTTCTAGTTCTTCTTGATTTTGGTGTAAAACCCTAGACCAGCTAGAAGGGATTGCAATTCCACCAAAAAAATCGAAAAACCGGGCTTACCTGAAGTCTTTGATCAGCCCTTCACCTTATCATGCAGTCAGCCGATCTAGGGCTGCATGATGGAGCAGCTCAAGAAATGTTTAAACTTGCTCTGATACCAAGTAGAAAGGTTTGGACAACCTGTTTTGATATAAAACTGTAAAAGAAAGAACAAAAGAAAGAGGAGAAAAGGTTTCAGCTAAGAAAGAGAGAGATGAGAGATAGAAGAGAATGGGAGAAGCTCAGAATTAGGTCTGGCCGCTCCTTTCATTAGATTATATACTCATAAATAAAAGAGAGTACAAAGACAAGTATGCCCTTGGAGATTTTCAGGTTGGGCCGGGCAAGGTTTCTGGGCCAGGCCAAGAATGATCACCCCTAGTTTAAACCTCTGGAGAGAAAATCAATGATTACCCAGGTGGGAAGAAACCCAAATCTTCAAGGACCAATTGAATTTGACTCATTAACTCTACTCCACTCATCAAGGGATTATCTTAACTATATGGAGTTGGCCACATGAATAGAATTTTTCCACTACATTTGCTTGAAATGGTAGTTCATGGTTCATGCTCTTAAGGGTTTGGAAAAATTAAAAATGTATAGCTGGGTGCTAGTGTGCACAGTCATCCTCTATCTGGGTTTGGGCTGGCAGTGCAAGACAAGTTCATAACTGGTGTGAGCTTAACTAATTCATATGCGAAATGATCATTGAGGAGGAGAGATTGTGATACTGGATGGAAGATAAGTTATGAGCCTTGGAATTAGTTATCAGCTTAGAGACGATCTTTGCCTACTATATTGAACTATTTCATTTAGATGGGTTCTAGTGGTTCCTACTATGTTGTAGAGTCATGCCATAGGGTTAGTGAGATGGAGCTTGCAGGACATTTCTTACCCAACTTTGTGTATTTCCTTGTCCATAAGGGCCCTTTTTCTAGCTCATTTGCTGCCTTTTGGCTTTTTTCTCTCCTTTGCATACTCACCACCTCCATTCTGTATGGTTTTGGGGTTGTACTTAAAATTTTTCCTCTTTAATGCAAGTTATTAAAAAATGATATGGTTCTAGTTTGGTTAGTAAGGAATTGAGGATTTATAGGAAATATTGGAACCCTAGAATTTGTTTATTTTAAAAATTTCAAATGCTAAAATCTTTGTTAACTGTTGGCATGACCAGATACAGTTTCTCAAACCAAAACCAAGCTATATGAAGTCCTGTAGATGTTGAGACAACAGCCCTAGGCCTATTTATATAGATGTAAATATTTTTCCCTTCTCCCTTGTCGTTATGTAGGTACACTGATTCCATAAAATTCACCATAAACTGGTATTATCACTCAAAAATTGCTCTGTGTAGGCATCATTGCATATTGTTGTATTCTAGTTTCTGGTATCACTCTAGAAAAGGATATTTATAGAAAGAGAAAGATTTGTTTCTAAGAAATTATTTCAATGGGAGTTTGTGGTATGTATTTGTTTAGGAGGATGTTCTCATAGTTTTTTTTTGGTAGTTTCTGCCACCACTTTTTTCAATTCTTTCTTTTTTCTCTTGATGAATCTTGTTACCTATCAATAAAATATATATTCTAATGGTGTTTCTTAAAAGAGTTGCAAAAATTTATATAACATATTATTTTTTTATCTGAACATAACTTGGTCTTACTAAAATTGTTGTGGCTCTTAGTATTTACTAAGAGGTTTCTGCCTAAGCTCATTCAGGGTTCTGATTTATGAATTCTGATCTTTTCTAGGTTCCTCGGATTGTTATATTTATATTTATTCTATTTAGTGAATGATCCGTGCTGTTATCTGGAAGGTGTTTTGTCAAATATTATTTTATCAGTTTTAACCAACTAATTCTGGTTTCAGTATCAAGGAGAGCATGGATGGAGGCCTTCAAACTATACTGGTCTGTGTGAAAAGATTTTAGCAAAAAGCCAAACTGTGGTATGTAGAATCTGTTCATTGATTAAGTGATGTGAAGTAGCATCAGATTTTAGCCTTCATTTGAGTCAGTTCTTGCTTTCTAAGAGGTATATTACATTTTCGTTTTGTACAAAGAGATCCATCATATGCAATCATGAAAAGTAAAAACTCTTGGTGATAACTACTACTGTGATCTTTTATTTGTATTTGGCCTTGACAGTTTATGCTACAGATCTGGGTTCTTTTTTCAATTCGTATTGTGCATTCGGTTTTTTACAGTCAGAACTCAAGCACAACCTCTAATTTTCTCTACTACCTTTTCCCAATGGTTCTTATAAAACATCTATCCTTTTATAACCTTTTTCTAGGAATTTGAGCTGACCTGTTCAATATTGCACTTGAGCCAGATTCTAGATGCCTGAAAAAGTGACCTAATGTTTTAGGAATTTAATTGTGGATCTAAGTACTTTGCAGTATAACGTTCTTCAAATCATGAGTGGTGGTTCATGTTTACTCTTTAAAGATGGTTTCCACATATAGATGTTTTGTAGATAGAAAATGATCTTACTCCCACTCCCTAGTCTTATTCTCTTGTTTTATATTGACAAGTTTTTTTTTTTTTCAGAACCTAATGAAATATCTGTCAACTTTTATTAATATATGGTAAAGTAAAAATTATTTGTGTTACCTTTTTTCCTCTAATAATTTGGTTAACAGGATCTTAGTGTTTCAGGCTGGCTTTTTTCTAGTCCAGTATAGTCACTTGTGGCAACAACATCTTGACAGGCTTTTTCATCATTTCTCCTTGGGAAAGCTTAAGGTAATGCTGTTCAAATTCTACTTTATGCTAAAAAAAAAAAATAGTTCTCTTGGCATATATGTATGCAGAATGCAGATCCACTTTAATTCAAATCTCTTTCAGTGGGTAGCATAGGCTATGATAAATCAATCAATTTCAGCATATAGCTTGTATTCAGAAGAACATAACCTTCATCTTGGAATATGGGTGATGTTGCTGATTCTGACAGGTTAGGTCATAGCCTTGGTTATGAATTGGTTGTAGCCAAGGTGAACTTCAAATGTGCTTCTCCATATTCATACGAGAAAATAATTGTATTTCATTCTATGTGGTCATGCACAAGTGACATCTTTTTGATAATTCTAACATGTTTCCAAGCATGGATTAGAATTATTTCTACTTTCTTGATATTGCTTTTTCTTAAATAAGAAACCTGTATTTCTTTCTTAGTTTTCTTCATTATAGGTTCTTCTTGACTGTCTACATAATTTCTTGTAGACAAATGCACCAAAATTTTAGCAACAAAACCAAGCCTTAACCTTGCAGATGTACTCAGCATGAAATATAATTCATGGATTAACTCAACATTTTCTCATTGCTGATCTGCATGCAGCATACAGACACACAAGCATTAAAACTGGATAGTTTTCTTAAGCATTCTCGACTGGCATTTTCTAGGCTACTGTGAAGGCCAATACATCAAGCATGAGAGTGCAGGCTCGAATCTGAGAGCAGCCACTGTGTGCAAAAAACAATGTCTAAGTTTATGACCATATCCAGTCTACCCCTCCCAAGACCCCAAATAGATGGGACCAACATTGGGTAATGGCCCTTTTTATTCATCATTTAATTTCAACCATGGAGTTTTTTTCCTCCTCTTTTCCACTGAAAGTTTCATAGGCAGCCTGCTGACTGCTGCTTCTTGTGCTCAAGGTCCTCTGGGATGCAGCTGAGCAGAAATGTGGCATGTTTTATCCTAATCACGTGGCATGAAATCCTCACGTACTAGCCTCATGGAGCATCCATTCTAAGAGTGGCATACAGGCATTAGTGCCAATATTCCTACAAAATGCTGCATACTGAGATGTACCCGGGGGTTAGGTATAGTCTGGCAGACCAGCTGCAGCAGCCACGCATGATTGTTATGTCTGTGAAGTAGTAATTTAATCCAGGTGGAGGGAATCACCTTGAAGTTTTACTAAAGGTAGCATAAAGTTATGTCAAGTGGGAAGGACATTGACCTACAAAACCCCCTAGTTACAATAATTGCAGCACAAAATCTCATCACTCAGCCCCAAATACAACAAACATTGGAGGGAGCACAGACTTGATCTCTATGCTTAAACATAGCAAATAAAAAGCTGAGGGCAGTAGAAGAATGCCGGGACCTTGATGTTTGGGATACTGCAGTTGTCCATCCTTGTGCAGGATATAGCTTTTCTCCGAAGATGAGTTTGCAAAAAAGGATTTCTTGCTGTTGACATCTGACTTTAGTCAGTAGACTGTGCAACTCTCCCAGAGTTCATGAGCAATGGAGAACCTTATACTTGGGAATATTGATTATAAGTCTGCACCATGAGATACTAGAATCGACCCAAGTTATTTTGGATCCAATTCACTATGTTCATGAATCTGCATCATGAGAGACTTGCCTGCAATCACGGCTGAATACAGTCCAATATCCTAAAGTGTCATGAAGAGCCCTGACCTCAACAATCAAGATGTTGGTCTGATACGTATCCGTCTGATAAGACAAATATGCCATTTACCTTCACTATAGCAGAAGCATCCTCCGCCCATAGTAGCACATGGGTTCCCTGTTGAATCTCCATTAATCATGATCATGGAGGTTTTTCTCCTCACAGATGCCCTTTCCAACAAGTGAAAATGTGCACTGCACTCTAACAAGCCTACCAATGGCCTGAAATGTTAGGCTGTGATTGGTTGTAGTGCAAATTTCATATTGGTGTAACTGCATTGGAGTGCAAATTCTGGCTTACTTTTGCTTCACATTTGATCTTGTCTTGTTTGTTTGTGAAGAAAATAGGAAGTAAAATGGTGTGGCTCCACCTTACTACAAGAGAATGGAGGTAGGACGAAGGTTATTTGTTTGGGAGTGAGGTATGAAGCAAGATGTTGTCCCCGCTTTATATGAGAGAGAATTGAGGTAGGAGGAAATTTGTGCAAATTGTGCATCAGTTTTGAGATGCAAACTTTATACTCTTAGTCAGTGCAAATGAGACAAAAAGTACAAATTGTGTATATTAGGTAGGAGTGCAAATTGTAGTTACAAATAAATAGATGTAAATTTGAACCAGGTACAAAATTTGTATCTGTTTTAGATTTGCACTGCAACAAACACTGAAAGGAAACCAAATCCCACAGCCCAGAAATTCCTACCATGCCAAGGAGACCAAAATGAGCCTTGTACTTCCCTGGTGGTCTGGTATTGGTAGTTGTATACCTCTGGAGATCTCAGTTGAGTTGGATGAGCCCATACAGGCTGTAGTCTTGTTGGTCTTCCATACTTTATAATTTATAACTAACACTTACTAACATCAACCTGAGCTCATCAAACCTTCAAAGCCCTCCACGGTACATTTGTGGATACGTAAAAGTATTTGTTATAGGTTATGCATCAGATATGCCTGTGAAGTTAGGTCTCTTAGGCTGCATTTGGCATTCCTTATTTTAAGGACTTATCTTCTTTTTTCAGTTAAAATGCCTCTATGAGCACTGAATTTTTAACAGCAAAAAGGAGTAAGTCCTTAAAATAAGGAATGCCAAATGCAGCCTTAGACTGGTTAACGTAATGGGCATATAAGTAGCATGGGTATTCTGGTCATTACAGTGATATAAGTGGGCTTTTATTAGTCTGTCTTAGGAGTTCAAATCAGGCCCCTACAAGATTGTCCCTCACAATGTCCCACAGCACATCCCCGCCGTATATTGGGAACATCTCCCGATGATGACATCATCATTTCTGGGATTATCATTGGGAGATATTCCCAATACACTGTGGGGATGTGCTGTGGAATGTTATGGGGGGCTGATTTGGTCTCCTGTCTTGGGGGCATTTATTTTTGGTAATCTATTAGGGGCATGTTTGTAATGCACTATTTTATCAAATGAGATAGAAAATTGGTCACGACTGTTATGTTGTCTCGAATGGAGTAGAAGGGGGTATCACTCATGATTCATAAAACAGTCTAGGAGACCGGATCGGCTGGAGACGAAATCATATATACTGTGCTGGGCAACCTATCATAAGTGAACACGCCAGCATTCTGTATACATGGGACTTATGTGGGACCTACACCTTGTGAGTATGGAGCAGCACTGATGTGTAAGCTTATGATAAGTTGCACAGCCTGGTGTGTGTGATTCTGTTCTTTAGCCCATCCAGTCCTATGTATAGAACTGCTTCGTTCTTGATGTCTTTCTTTCTTTCTCTCTCTCAGTATCTTTTTCCCCATCTAAGCTCTGAACCACAATTACAAAGTTCATATCCAGTCTACCATTCCAAGACCCCAAACAGCAAGGATGAACATTAGGTGATGGGAATTGGATTCTCATTCATCCGGCCTGACAAGCATGAGAAAAACAGGTGAAGTCTAAGTGTCTGTTAGGTTTGTAGTTGACAATATTGGAATAATCTGGAATGGATTCTCATTCCTCAAATGGGGAATGACATACTGATAAAAGGGGGGGGGGACGTTCCACCAGGAATGGGAATTGGATTCTAATTCCATTCAACCAAACAGTTGGAATTGAAATGGTTCATTCCGATTCTGATTCCAGACCCCTATCCCCAGTTCCCCACGAACCAAATGGATCCTAATTGACCATTCTGATTCTGATTCCAGACCCCTATTACTGCAAACCAAACATACTCCAAGTGTAGCCATTTTGTGCAAAAAAAATACTACTATTAGATGCATATCCAGCCCACCCTTCTCAAGACCCAAGATACCAGGGACCAACATTGGGTAATGACTGTTTATTTCAAATATATTGAAATGTCTTAAGTAGTAATTAAAGATTTGAGGGGTCATAATTTAATGCTACTGAACAAAACGGATATTTTGAAGGTTAAAAGCAATTACAAAAGTATATATTTATTTATTTATTTATTTAAATACAGATCTCCTATGTTTAAAGTTTGACTACTCTGGCGTCCAAAAAAGAAGAAGGTTTGGTCACTCACCATTGAGCCACCTTCTAATGTAACCAAAAAAATTAATAAATAAATAAAATTGATCATTAAATCAGTATTTTATAAGTATCAGTGAAACTAATGGTATTTCAAGTCCGTTGTTTCATATTTATGTCCTTGATGTAAAAATAATAAAAAAGATGTTCTTTTAGCAAATAAAGTTTATGAATTGCATTTGATATGTATCTTTGAAATTCTAATAGATTTGATATATTAAATTAAAAGTATTTATTTCTGTAAGTAATTGATTAATAATATAATTTATAATAAATAACAGTATATTTATTTATTCTTTATATAAATAAAACTATTATTTACAAGATTTACTTAATTTACATTAGTGATTTTAAGAAGTTATACAGACACTAGCTAACATATTAAGAATTTAAATTAAGTTCACTTATTTTTGTTGTAATATAAAAATTATAAATAATAAAATATAGAATTTTTTTAGCTATTAAAACTAATAATTGCTTATGATTTCTGTCTTGGACTCATGGATTTATTGATCTTATACACTTTCGTGGATCCAATATTTTTAGGTTAATTATATATTTCTGTATTTATTAATTAATAATTTAACTTAAATAAATAATAACATATTAATAGCCTTATATATGTAGTAATTTACAAAAACCTGTATAGTTATTTCAGTTAAGGCCATTAATATGGTTTGTTGATCTTATATGGTTTGTAAAGTTTTCCCTACCTTTCCCTTTCTTTCCCTACTTTTTCCTGTCAGTGTTTTGCTTTCTTTTGGCCTTTTATTTCACCTGATCAATTTCTCATGGAATTCAGTGAATTAATTGCGAGAAGCAAACTTCAGATCCTTTCCATATTATGATACATCCATAAAAAGCATCTTTACAACCTCATTAAGCAGAGTAATCACTTTCAAAATGGAGAAACTACTCGATTAGTATTTTTGAAAAGATAGTGAACATGAGATGGTGGATTTTCAACATGGGATATCCAACAAATCTCGTTTTTTTTCAATCAAGTATTATTATTGTCATGCTGCTAATAAAGTAACTGATTTAGTCAATTTTTTCTTGTAATAGGTTACCATAGACCCAAAGAAGTTTTTGGGTCTTCAGTCTGTTGCAGATGCTGTTGAATATCTCCACTCCGGCAAAAGTGTTGGCAAGGTATTTTCAGCAAAAGATTGTTATCTTATATTTATCTTGCAAGTTGAAATATTAGGCTTGTTCTATAATTCTAGCGCCCTTTGTTTTTTGAGGATTTATCTGTAATAAAATTGAACTCTTTCAGGTGATTGTGTGCGTTGATCCTACTTTCAGTCCCCAAGTGGCAAAATTATGAGGTTATGGCATTAAATGATCCGTTACTAACTATTGTGGATGATCAACACAAAAGTAAGTGTATCTTGCCTATGAAGTTCTTTGTTTACCGAAGTCAAACCAATGAAATTCCTGCTTTGGTGGAAATAAAAGTCATGGAAAAGAAATTTTTCTTTGTTTACCAAAGCCAAACGAATGAATTTCTTGCTTTTTTGATGGAGCAGATATATTTGTTGGTACACACTACACAGTACACTCATTGTGTCTTGAGGGTTTAGTTTGTATGAAAACATCAAAATATTTTGTGATAACAACAGCTAATGTCAAGCATATTGCATATTTCAAAGTCATCTACCAAAAAAGAAAAAAAAAAAGGTATCCCAAAGTCTGTTTCAGCATGAAACGGCAAATAATAAGTCACGCACCACATGAGTATTGCAGGAGAGATTATCGTTGTTGTAGAGACTTGTAGTAAATGGTTGTTAAAGATGTGCAAACATCAAAAACATGTCTTTTTGGATGTTTACAATGAGATCATAGAAGACAATAACAACGTGCACCAAATTTTCTTTCCCATAAACGGAGAATTAACAAAATTTATGCAATACCGACCACGATTGCTATCTTTTACCTGCACAAATTAATAGGTCAGTCAGTTAATGAAAACATAAAAATAGAGAGCAATAATTAATGAGATATATAATAACTTGAAAAGAAAAAGAAAAAAAGAATATTACAATAGCATGCATCCTTTTAGATCTTGGAATGTTTTGGTTATTTTTTTTAATAAACCTCTTGTTAGAAGTGGTTAAAAATAGAACTTTCTGGCTTCTGCTATCAGAATATCAAATAAAAATTTCAGATAATTTTCTCGTATATCCTTTTTTTGGACCAAAGTATTTGGTTTCTTGCAGTTGACAAGTTTATGCTTTTAAACAAAAATAACAAAAACTATTTTGTAAATCTGTACATTTAAATGCAAAATATACAGTACATATTAAGTATAAGAAGAGGGTGCAACAGTTAATTATTTGTTTTTAACTGATTAACAAAATGTGAAGCATATCTAGCAAAACCTCATACATGGATATATTTGGCTTCAGCAAAACATTAAACTTGCATGTACAAAGTTGTGTATTCCTTAAGAAGTACAACAAATTTCTCCAAAAGCATATCTAGCAAATCCAAATCTTTGCCAACGCTTAACAACATATAGTGGATTCAAATCCAAGTAAAAACACAGAGAACATACACAGAACAATGAGGAAACTAATATTAACAAATAGCAAAGATAGAGAATACTCATAAAACTAATAAACTAAATATATGCACTTAGGGTCAGCTTGAACTTTAGATTTTCCGATGTGGATTATCCCATATTCCCATTGCAAATATTAATAAATGATCTGTCATTCTCTGTGAACAGAGGGGCATAATAACTACTAACAACCTATTCCAAGTAAATAATCTAGGTCCATATTCAGTCCAGCCACCACAGATCCTAAATAGCAAGGACCACCATTGGGTCATAGCCCTTTGTATTATTAACTGATAGTTTAGGAGTAGAGCTTTCAGCTTTGTCTTCCCATTCAGAATGTAGTCTGGTGTGCTATTACATGCACATACTAGGTACAAAAGTCAGAAGCCAACTGAGTATTTTCAGCCCACCAAAAACATAACCGAGTCCTTTGATATAGAAACATCTAAACAAGCATAGATCTAATTTTATCAGTCAAGATCAGGGCAAGATGGTTGCCTACAATATGGATTTATGATGCACATATTAGAGAAAGAAAATATTACCTGCATTGATACGTTTTGCACCAACATTTGTAACACTTGAAGTCTTGTCAACTTCTTCATGATCATTCACCCGTATTATATATACCTGGATAGGCAGGGGAATCAAGTACAGATAGAAGACAATCATTAACGAGTTCATCTCAATCTTCAGGACTTAAGAAATCAATCAAATAATTCCCAGTACTACACTTGAGAACTAATCCAAAATTCCAAATAAAGAAAGTAGACAAACCAGTACCTTAAAAGTTGTGCGCTTAACTAGCTGGAAAACTAGAGCATCCCCATCAACCAATTCGTGTGAAATTGCAAACCCTCTCCATCCAGCACTTAGTCCTGTTTTCTGTGCCAGGAATGTTGTTGGGTGCTCTTCTCCATTCTCATCTTCCAAAATAATTGTTTCATCACGTTTTGGAAGGTTCATCTTGCAGAACTGGACAGAAAGTCCCTGACAAGAAGGTTGCCAAGAAAATATTGTAATTATTGCCTCCATAATATTCATTTATATTCCACTATATGCACAAACAACTTCTGCCAATTTTTATAGTCAGGGATCACCAATTAGCTCCAAAATTGTGTCATCTGTATTCTTGGATAAAAATCCACAGTCAAGTCATACTCTTGTTTTAAGTGATTCTGCCTCGCCATAAGTATTCTAGGATTCTGGCCTAAAGAATAATGCAAAGGAAAAGATAATGTACTCCAACAAAAGAACAATTGATAAATAATGAAAAGATATTATGTGAAGAGAGTACAACCAGGGTAGTTTGATCATCCAAGAATACGGACCAGATACTAGGAATAGAACCCATAAATCCTCTTGGCAGTTCACAATTTCATACTATTTTGGTTTTCAATTCAAATCTCGTAATTAGATGGATTATCATCATGCTTACCAACCAAAATCCGCCAGTCACATGAGATTGGAGCATTGTCTTCACAAAGCTTGGGTATTCGGGTTCTAGATTTTCTAGTAATTTTTCTGCTCTCTCTATGGCATAAGATCTGGCCTCGTCTGAAGCGTACACGCGATTTGACAAATCCCTCCTCTTATAGCTTCTGGTAGTAACCAATGGCAGAATAGTATATGATATATTCACAAAATCTAAATGTATGCCGGGCAGAATCCAGAAAATACAAGGTTGACTATGCAATGTAGTTACCTTCTAGGCCTCTCTATATGATCTACCGTTACCTGTCAAGAAGCAGAGAATTACTGCATCAATTTGCCTATATTTTTTAAATACGAGATTCTTTTAACAGGGCATCATGTTTCTACCACATTGAGTAGATTAAACTCCTGAAGCTATTGTTATTTCATGAAGAAAAAGAAAGCACCGTTCAATGAGAAAGGATAACATTTTGTGTGAAAAGTGACATGAAGCTAAGTTACAGACTGCAGCTAATGGACTGTGCTTTCAAAGCTGCAAAAGCAATGCATTCTGGCGGGGGGAATACAAAATAGGAGGTGAAAGAAGAACTCAACTTCCTTGTAATTGGGAGGGGGCTTATTGGCGACACGAGTCGACCTTCTTACTGCGGCCAAATCTACTTGCGGGCGAAGTGTCCGTGGCTTCATTTGCTTTACCTGTGATTCGAGCAAACAAGAGAAGACAGAAACAGGCAAGAAATTTGAGAGACAGAAAAGTGGGAAATGGACATAGAGAAGGAAAGAAAAAGGGTATGAACCGGTGAGGGTTTGGGGCTGGCATTGCGGAGAGTCTGAGCGAGCTGAGTAAGGTTGAGGTCCTCCATCCTCTTCTTGTTCTCCTCTAATCTCTGTCGACGCAAATCCTCGTAGGTTGTTGGTTTAGCCTTCACCATTTTTGAGCAGTTCAAAGTTCAAACTCTTTCTCTCTCACACACACAAACACGCGTGCGCGCAGAAAGAGAAGAAGGGAAGAAAGGAAAGGAAAGCGAGAGGGAAATGTAGAAAGAATCAAAGAAACACCCACCCTCTCGTTCGCTCTAATCAGAAAGAAATTGCTAGAGTCGACCGTTGAGCTCCCGCATATTTTTAAATTTCGAAGAGACTGGAGACTTGGACCGTGGAGAGTGACTAATGTACGGGACGAGGGAGTCAGAGAGCCTTTTGCTTCGGGTTGAGGAGCGGCCGGCACAGAGAGAGAGAGAGAGAGAGAGAGAGTGTCAAAACTCAAATTACCAGCCGGTCGGCCCATCTAATCACACAACACCAGACTACTGTATCCCTTGATGTTCTGACGAAAAAGCCCTTGATTTGATAGTCATATCCCCGTTCTGAACAGAATAATCCTGACATGCGGCCAAGGAAGGGGGGATTTGTGGTACTGGAGTGGTGGTAGTGTAGTAGAGTGTAGAGACCAGCTACCGGATTCAATGGTTTCAGCTCAGGTAGATGGATCATCCTTCATCCATTGTTCTATGATAAACCCTGTTAATGGATGACAAAGCGGGAAGCATGCATAGATATGTCTTGGTACCACTCTTTGGGTTCAAATGGATTCCTCCTGAAGAAAGGTGGATTGAATGATTGTCACAACCCACAAAAACCATTAAAGCATTTGCAGCAGCTTGTATCTGATCTGATCAAACTCAATTTTTTCTCTTATTGTTAATATCCAAACTTGCTTTCTAGAAAGAAAAAAAAAAAATTCTAAAATATAGTAACTTCTTATCTTATTAATTATAGTAACTTCTTGTCCTGACTCATTTGGCTGGAGGAGTTATGGCAATATGGCATATGCAAAATTTCTAAAATACTCACAAATACCCTTCACACATAATATTGAACTATGGGGTCAATGACAATTACCCCCATTAAACTATTTGCAATAAAGACCCTCTAAACTTTCACGTTGGGACAAATACCCCCTCTATTATAGTTCCATTATTAACTTCAAAAAAAAATTCTCATTCAACTGTTTAAAATTTCTTAAATCTTCAAACAATCATTTTCTTATTTATTTGAACAATCTATGATTCAATTGGTTTTCTAAATATAATATTTAAGTCTTCTCGGTTGTTCCAACAGATCTTTGCAGATTTATAGTTCGATTCAATATTTAGATGAAATGGCAGAGGTTTTTTCTAATAGATGTAAATTTAAGGTTTTATTTTGTTTTTCTTGATTTATTGAAAAAAAGAGTGGTTGATTTTTATATTTTAAAAAGAAAAGAGACATTCATGCTAGTGAAATGAAACAAAAATTTAAAGAAAACTTATTTTTCTATGTCAGTGAAATGATTCTTGTTGTTTTAGCTGATTTCGTTTAGAGAAAATGGAGGTATTTTTTTGGGTCAATTAGGGTTCAAGAAAAAGGGCAAGGAAAAGAAATTAAGAAAACTAGAAAAAGTTCAGATGCATATTTTGGTAATTTAATGCATTCCATCATCTACTTAACGGGCAAATGGACCCACAATAGGGGCACCTTTGTAATTTACCCTAATAAAAAAAGCAGCTTTTATGACCATTAACCCTATATAGATCAGATCAGAATTTAAAATATACAGTGTTCTCTATACAAAAAACACCGTAAGATAGGTACGTTGAGTCCTTAAAACATGCATACATAATTCTGGGAATATATATATATACATGTACTATGCACCTAGTAGGGATAAAATGCCTCAAAAAGTCATCATCATATCCTTCCTTTTGTCCATCAAAATGGGTAGAAAGAAACTGTTGGCATAAGATCCTTCATGCTCACACAAAGGCTGAGATCGCCCAACAAAAAGGACTATCACCAAGGACTATTAACCTTCTCCTGAAACTTTATCTCAAGCATCTCAGTCTGCACCTTCAGACTCTTAATCTCGTCCTCATATCTCTTATGTGTCTCTTTAAGTTGTACCAGCTTCACTTCCAGATTTCTTATGTTTTCTTCCAACTGAGATTGTGCAACCATTCCTTCCTTGTACCTCCTTAAAGCCACAGCCTCCTCTGATCCGAAGGCAAGATCAACAAGGCAATTCAGCCGAGAACGTAGAAAGCCTACATTCATTCCAAGATATTCAAAGGCCTGTAAGCTCTTGTCCCATTTCATTAAGTCGTCCTTGGATGCCGTGGTCAGCTTGCAAGCTCTTATGGCGTCAGCTATGTTGACAGTCTCAGAAATGACTCCACTGCTTAGCAAACAATTGATGCCCTCAAGCAGATTGTCATGGAGGAAAGCTTTCTGGCTACAGCAGAGCTGATAGTAATTTTTCCTTACGTGTTCAGGGAGCTCCGAGTTTATAATTAAATCATTCACCACAATGTTGAAATCCTCAAAATTGTTGACATCTTTGAATTCAACATTGGCCCCTGAAAATCTGATTCCTGTTTCCAAAACCTCTGGGCCAACTTCTTGACCGTCATTTTCAGACTTCTCTCCACTTGGCATCCCAAGATGAGATATGGATATTGGGTGGTTAGTCTTTTGACGTTTCTCTGCATGAACAGGTAAAAATGGCGGGGGATCCTCGTCTTCTTTTGACATGAGCAAGGAAAATGACGAAGATATCAGAGAATTGAAATCCATGCTAAAGAATGATTCAATACAGAAATCAAATTACCTGCAGAATCCATTTTCCTTGCACGACCGTCCAAATTTAGAAGGCCAAGGGCTCCATCAACTTCAGTCAAATCATTTTCCCTTATTATGTACACCTACAGATGTGGATGTGGACAGATGGGTAAAAGTTAAGCCAAGGTCTATCACATGAACAAAAGTAGCCAACTACAGACATGAAAGAGTTATGGCTAACAGCATTAATAGAACTATTCGTCAATTAGATGTTTCTGATGAAATCAAAATCTTAGCCTTAGAAATAAATAGGCCACATCATACAAAGAAAGAATGGACAGGGGACTAAGCTAAGATATATGGGGATTGTTGAATCAACACAAGAAACAGAAGTGACTCATCTGAGTTATCCACTCGAATTCTATTCAATTATTTCAATTTGCTTACAACAACAGCATAGAAACTAATTACCTTGAATTTAGTAACAGTGACTAATTGAAATATCAACACGTCTCCCTCGACTAATTTGTGGGCAATGGAGAAGCCTCTCCATCCACCACTCAAGCCCACCCTTTGGGCAAGGTATTTTGCTGGAGTTTCTTGCCCATTTTCATCCACCAAAGCTATGGTAGTATCTTGTTTTGGTAAGTTGGAAAGGCAGAATTTCGCAGGAAGCCCCTGTTAACAAAAATCAAGTTCATACCATAATTACTCAAGTGCAGTTCAGGTCATCTACTCTCAGATTTTTCTATCTAAATACACTAAGACAATTGCAATTACCAGCCAAAACCCATTAGTAACATGTGAGCGAAGCATAACTTTCACAAAGCTAGGGAACTCTGGCTCTAAATTCATCCGAACTTCTCTCGCTCGTTCCATGGCAGATGTTGGATTAGCTTTCCCAGAAGCAAATAATCGATCAATGATAGACCTCTTTTGCTTATAGCTTCAAATAAATCAAAGAAGCAGAATGATAATAAGGTAACCAACCCAGAAAGAAAAGGGTCAATACACATTCACTTACCTTTTGCAAGTCTGTGCATGATGGACAACCACCTGTTCAAGTATAAGAGTTGTCCATTAATTTATAGTTTAGTCCATTAAACTGCACTTCTATATTCTGATGCATCATTCTTTTTAATCAATCCTAAGGCTCAGTTTGAAGGAGTATAAATACAAATATGTAGAGTGCAAAGCCTTGTATTTTGTATGTATTTATACTGTACAAATTTGTATTTGTACTCCTTCCAAACTGAGTCCAAGTATCAGAGGGTTGGAATTTTTCCAGCTATGGCTCACCCAAGAGTGTCACCAGGTGGGAAAATAGAGTGCAAATAGGAATAGAATCAATAGATCAAGGTTGCTGTCTTGCTGCCAAAGACATACAACAGTAACTGCCAGCTTAACGGCTCTAACGAGAGGGAGATATAAGGAAAGAGGAAACTGAAATAGTGGGTCATATCACAAAATTCTGAAGGACGATACAAGGTGTGAAAAGTAATATACAGAAAATAGGCAAAAGAAATAAGGAGGTCTCTCGGTCTCTCACTTTCTGCTTCTTACGTATTCGTGGGGGAGCGGAATGCCATCTTCTCCGAAACAACTTCGTAATAGTCTCCTTCGGCTTACTGCGGCTAACCTGAAGACAAACAAAACAGGGGAAGAAAAGAAAAGTTTTTTTTTTCGGGAATACAGGTTGAAGAACAGTTTTCAGTATTTGGATAGAAGAAAGAACGAAAGAAATCGGGAGGTGGAACAGAAAGCAAACCGTGGAGGTGGGATTTGGACTTGGAGTGGGGCTTTGCCGAGTTTGAAACAACCGGGAAAGTGTGACCCGGTCTTCATTATCTTTCATGTCTTCCTTCACCTCTGCTTTTACCCGTTCAGTGTCTTCTTTTGCCTTCTGATCCACCACCATTTCCGAAATCCAAACAGATTAAAAAGCTCGCTCTCAGGCCAGAAGTTAGATTTGTAAAAAGTCTAAATGTTGACCGTTGAGCTGTTTAAATTCAAAATCCACACTCCCACTCCATTTATAGGACAGGGGAGGGGAGGTGAAGCTTATGTCTGATTTGACAATTTTCTCTTTTCGAACCAGAATTCTTATTTTCTGTTTATTTTTTATTATTTTTATTTTTTTCGCTGCATCCCATAATACCCATTTCCCATACTTGTTTTCCATTTGGGTTATTATCTTAAAATCTCCATGCATAGACCCCCCCCCCCCTCCCCACTTGTTGTCACTTGTCAGATATCTACCCGGACTCGGAGAAGATAAACGGTTTTAACAAAGTTACCATATTACCCTTGTATCTATAAAATTCGTAAATGCTGTTGATTGTTGATAGTAAAAAGCTGTTAGGATCAATGGCAGACGGCAGGTATAATAAAACAGTAAAAGCAATGAAAGACGACATCAAGTAAATACAGAGCAATACACTATTATGATTGCAATGGAAGAAGAAGGAGAACCCACTTATGCAAACGTACATATTCCACACAGAGGAATGGAAATAAATAGAGTTATAGAGTGATAAACGGGAAATGAACCGGCCTGGATCATTGTTAGAGATTGTGGTTTTCTTCAATGGTAGCTACCCGTAGAGTTTAAGGAGGAAGATTTGAAATGGTGCGAGACGTACAGAGATCCACTTTCAAACAATTGCGGTAAAACCGTCTTGGCCTTATCCGATCTCCATTTGTTGTTTTAAGGCGAAGTAATCATTAAAAAACACTTATTATGATACAGAAAATAAAGATTGCAGATAAATATACAGAGAGAATAGAGATACTAAACCAGATTTTAGACTCTTGTTCGACGATGTTTAATAGTTAATGGGTTGTCCGGTCTGTTGGGGTTAATTTGGTCATTAAATAAAATTAATAATAACTTGAGAAAATTATGGATTAATACCCTGTATTTTGGGCTAATGCCACTTTGGTTCCAGAACTTTAAAATGTGACAATTCAATATCCGAACTTTCAAAATATGTCAATCCTGTGACATTTGAAAAGACACAAATGCCCTTTTAGTGTCATCTAATTTTCTTTATCAACCATCCACATGTTGATAAAAATGAAGTCTCAAATCCTTGCCTCTTCTATTCAAGAAAGTTGGGGTTATGTCTCAATGGGTAGGTTATTTCTTAGGGGAAACACTTACTTGGATAAAGTGCATTTATTTATGTCTTTTTTTTTCATGTAAATAAAACAATAACTGTTTTAGCCATATAAAGCCATTATTAAAAGGGGAAATTCTTCATCAAAGTGGTGTTAATTTTTTCCTTATGTGTGAAAATTATTTATTCACCTAGGAGATGGGTACAAGGAAAAATAAATTTTTCATAAACTCCACATAAATCTAAAAAAAAGAACATAAATATCTTGAACAATAAGAGGAAGTTGAAAATCAAAATCCCATTAACCAACTTTTCCCTTTCAAAATAAAGAAAAAAAACGAACTTGCCTTAAATGAACCGTCCTATGTCAATCACTTAGACAGCACAGTTAGCGGCAGTGATCGGTGTTGCTGATTGTACATTCTAAATGGTCCCCTCCCCCCGCAATATCATATTAACCGGATAGAAGTCCACTATCGCCTATCGGATCGAAGCGTAACTCATGAAGTCTAGATAGAAGGGAATTAAGCTCCCTGTTTGCCTCTTACGTAGTTGCTCATCTTATGGTTGAAGCTAGGCCAGATCTCAGATAGTAACAGTGTAGTAATGCAATTGATTGATATTCAGTCTTTTTCTAATTCCGCAATGACTAATATTTCTGAAATAAGTTTATATTATCAATCAAGAGGATTGAGAGTGGATAACTATCCTGATTAATCTCTCTTATGCTATGCTTTGATTTGTGATATGTTTATTAGTGTCCATAGGATCAATTCGTATGGAGTATGAATTCATCTCATCCTATAGTTCGGTGTTGCAGACCTCCACATTCACCTATAAAAGGTAACATAAAGGGTAGATTCAGGGTAATTTAGTCATTAAATATAAGGTAACCTCCCCTAATAAGTTTTATGACAATCATAAAATCTTCCCTGTAGTTTTGAATAATCATGCATTTACCCCATTCCCTCATTGTCCCATACAGAAGGTGCTGACCTAATGTGTGGTTTTTAAATACCTGTTTTGCCTTTATATCTATTAATTAAGATATAGATTAATTAAAATATCCCTAATCACTATTTATCCCTCCATCTATTCAATTCTTTCTTTCTCTCTCTCTTTATATATTCGATTCCTTCATTGTTCCATACCAATGCATTTTAGGCTATGTTTAGTTTTATGGGCATTTATTGAAAAAATACGGTCATACAGCATAGGCATAGGCATAGGCATTGGCATTGGCATTTATTACGCATGAAATCATCATGAATTTATGTGCATGAAGAGTTGGGAAAATGTCAAATTCTTATTTTCTCCCACGCCTAGGCATTTAGAAACGAAATGCTTATGTAATACATAAAAAACCATAAAATAAACATTTATATGACAAACGCCCCATTAATAAACCCCCACGAATCCAAACACATTCTTTAAAGTTAGTTGCTTCTGCTGCTTCCAGAGCTAATTCGTAACTCCTGGTTTGCCTTTATCTATCTAAAAAAATTAAAAAGAAAGGTGACGTTTTAGGTTTAGGTTGGACGATTGACGGAGCAACCCCGTCCCCGTGCCACACGTGTCACGTAGGTGTTCGTTGACCGCAGCCCAGAAGGTTGTTTCCAACTTTTTGAGGCGCAGGACCAATGAATGCATGACTTTGTTGACTTCGTCCCTGATTCCGAACCAAAAAGAAAGAACGATTGTGTTACATCCCTCTCTGACTCTGATCAACGGTTGAAAAGTACGGACAACCGTTGTCTTCGTTTACACCCTACACAGTATCATCCCTTTATTTGCGTACACCACACTGGATTTGATTTTGATATTCTGGTGTGTTTACGTTATACGTGCAGTCTACACTACTCGTACTCGCGCCAATTCCCAAATCCAAACCAAGCATTGATTCAATGATTCAATCATCAATCCTACGTGCTCCCACATTGCTCCACAGGGAAAAAATGACAACCACCAGGTTGGAGATTTGAAGTAAGAGGATCGTTGGGTCCCCACAGATCTTCCAATCTGAGAATTGTAGGATGAGTTTTCATGCGATCACATCCAAAGGGGGGGAGTGTTCATTTGCTGACAGTGATTCACAGCCTGATTGATGCAAAAAAAAGTCGTCCAGTCATTTCTCTGTTTTCCCAACTTCATCCTGTTTTTGATTCTTTCGTTTTGGTCAGCAGGCTGTTCTTGTCATTTTGGTTTCATCTTCTTGCGCCTCTCGCCGCCTTTCTTTTCTTCTTTTATTTATCTTTTGCCCGGACGTTTTGACCTTCGTATTTCTAAAACTTTGCTCAGGATCTCTTTAATGGTTCTTGTTCTTTACTTCCTTACCTCCTCTGGTTCTCTCATCTTCCCTTTCTCGACATGTCAAATACCGTGAAAGAATGGCTTAAGATAATCTATGTGGTCTTAGCCTTCTGCTCTGCCTTCTTTCTGGGAGCTCTCAAAGGTATTCTTGTCGTTGCTGTTCTCCTCACTCCTCTCTAAGCTCCCTTTTTTTTTTTTTTCTTTTTTGCATTCAGTTTAATTTCCTTGCAGTTTCTGGATGGTGGGTATTATTTCTATTCTACATATGCTTCTTTTTTGGTAGTAACTTAGTTATGGCCTCATGGGTTCTTGTCTTTGTGCTCTGTTGTTGCAGGTATGGTGGTCGGTCCAATTGCTGGTTTGGTGCTGATAATTGGGAATGTTGGAGTTATTCTGGGGCTCTTCCCTGCTCATGTTGCCTGGACCGTCTATACTCTTATTAAGTCAGTATCTCTGAAATCTATATTTCTCATTTCTAAGATAATTTCTTCTATTGATTGGATTGATTTTTTGGGAGTTTGATTTGCAACTGAATCTTTAATTTAATCGACCGGTTTTATCACACAGAACCAATCGGTTGGATACTCCCCTGAAAGTTGCTTTCCTGTTTGCTTTGGCTCCACTATTTGCCCTCTGGTTGGGTCTTGGCATCGCTGGAAGCGTTCTTGTAGGAGTGGGCTATGGGTTCTTCACGCCTTGGGTTTCGGCCTTCGAGGCCTTCAGACAAGATACTGAATATAGAAAGTTTGTTCACTGCATTGTGGTAAATTTTGGATTTTGCCTTGTTGCCATTTGTTGATTCAGCGCCTAAATAGACAAAGAACTTTATAGCGTCCTAAACTCTGTCCCTTGTCAATTAACCATTAGGATGGGACCTGGGGAACCATTAAAGGGAGCTGYACTGTGGTCCGAGATTTTGCAGACATATGCTACCATTCCTATCCAGTCTACTTAAAGGAGTTACGTGGAGGCTCTGGCAGTTCAGATGAACCCCAAACTCTGAGGTATGGTATTTTGCTTGCTGAAAGTTATTCTGTGACTGTACACCAAATAATCTCTCTCCCACGTGGGGCACGGCACAGTTTCCATTGGCTCGATCAGTCTGAGCCTCAAAGACTAAAGAGAATTCACAAAATACAATCTGAACTTTTAACAACATTTGTCCTGTGTCTAAGTTTCCCGATAAAAGCTTCCGATAATCCCATTAAGAAGCTGGAACTTAAATCCATCTTCATGAATAATTAACAGGATTCTGGTTGTGCAAAAAAWAAAAAAAAAAACAAGATTCTTGAGGAAGAAAATACAAACCTGAATGTCATTTCATCATTATTTATTGTGCATGGGCTGAAGAAAATGAAACTAGGGCTTCATTGACATTCCTTAATTTAGATGATATTTCTGACGAGCCAAGCAACGGGGCTAGAGCCAAAAACCTTAGAGATGAAGTTAACATCTTTCTCAAATAAAAAGGGAGACAATATGGAAATGAAAGTCAAAATCCAGTAATTGTTGACCAGATATAGAAAATCGCACGGTATTAATTCATAGACAGAATAGAAAATGACGAATGCCTTGCTGTTATAAGGAAGGAGTGGAGACTACATGGCTTAGGCAAACAAATCAGCGACATTATTCACAAATTCTCATGACAAAGCTGGCATAGCATTGAACTCTTTGTTGAAGAATGTGGAGGTGTGATGTGAGGCATTTCACTGCCCTGAGGCTGGGGAATAAGTTCAGAACGTAAGAGGCATGAGCTTCCCAAGCACAAGAGAGGCACAAGCCTCCTTAAGAGGAGGGGGATGAGGAGGGGCCCTTGGCCCACTTTCTTTCCTTTCTCTTTCCTTCCCTTCCCATCCCTTTCCTTTCCTTTCTTTCTTTCTGAGGCACACGCCTCTAGCACACCTCATGCAAAAGGCATATGAGGCATGCACCTCATGGAGATGCATCAGTGCATCTGCATATACTCAGGATGTTTTGGGGACGCCTCCCACGCATTTTAAAACACTGATTCCACTTTAAAAAGAAATTAAGTCATGATGCTAGGCCCAGGAAAAACAAATATGCTTTAATCAAATCCATTCTGCAGGTTCTTGCATGCGTCATTTTGGCACCATGAGAACAAAAAATGTTACTCATAGTAAAGAAAGCAAAAGGTATCATACCAATCTTAACTTTTGTGCAGGTTGGTACATGTGCCTGCATGCATCATTGTGGGGTTGATGGGACTAATTGTGGATATTCCTCTTTACACTGTCATCGCCATAGTAAAGAGTCCATGCATGCTTTTCAAAGGCTGGCACAGATTGCTACATGATTTAGTAAGCCGAGAAGGTCCATTCCTAGAAACTGCTTGTGTCCCAATTGCTGGGTTGACAATCCTTCTATGGCCAGTTATCGTCATTGGGAGCATATTGTTGGCTATTTTCTCCAGCATCTTCATTGGGTTGTATGGCTCTGTTATAGTATATCAGGTGACCAGACATTCAGCCTTTTATCATTCATTTCTCAGACTTAAGACCTTCTAAAAATTCTAAGATTCAGGTTTTTTATGATGCAGGAGAAGTCTTTCCGGAGAGGTGCAGCTTACATAATTGCCATGGTTGCAGAATTTGACGAGTACACAAATGACTGGCTCTATCTGAGAGAAGGGACTGTCCTTCCAAAGTAATATTCTTTCACTCATCTAACCATCTTTATTTTCTATTCTTAAATATGTTGATTTAAGCCTATTCATTAATACTTGTTGCACTGTCATTCCTGGTTTTCCCTCGATGTTATATGTCATATTTCCCACAGCCAGGCCCCAGTACCGAAAGAAGAGGGCCACTCACTCAGCAGAGTTTTCTACTGGAGGAAGTCAGGCAGCTAGAGGCAAGTTTATMCCTGCTTCCATAGAAGCACCCACAATTCTCATACCAAGTTTAGCCCCATCAAGATCTGTTAGGGAGGCAATACAAGAAGTGAAAATGGTGCAGGTCTGTTTCTGAATTATAGAGTGTACATGGATGGATTTTTCCTAATTTTTGCATCTTAAACATCAGGTATAAGAGTTACAACCTACTGGTGTAGGTTTTGCAGAATTCTTTTTCTTTTTAAGACCAAATTAAATAATCCACGTAAAGCTACAGTCCACCAAATAATGTCAATCTTAATGGGTAATTGGGCTTGAAAGAGATAATTGTAGAATAGCATGGCAGTTCTACAGTCCACATTTAGAAAATAAAAGGGGCATTTTACCACTCAATATTTCTGGTAGAATGAAATATTTGAGAGACGCAGGAAGATATGAGCTCATGTAAATGAAGCATGAGCTCAACTTTGACCTTTTCATGTGACTGAAGTCCCCAAGATTTTTACTCATTAAAGAGGGATTGAGGTGAATCAACAAAAATTCTTTTCAAGACATGGAAAATGGTGAATGTTGATGAAAATTATGTTATCCTCTAGTTATGTTTCTGCTGTTAGTCAACTCTCCATAATGTAATATTCAATATGGTAACAATCTTCAACTCTACATTCTTTGAGGAAGTTAGTTGGTTCCTAGTAGAAGATCATAATCCCTATACAAACTACACAACAGATATTGTTTGCAAGTGTACATGCCAAATATATTGTAAATACACCTCATATCAGAAGGAAACTTACCTACTTTGAAACAAGAAACTCTTCCTTTTTTCCTTTGAGAGAGGGTCTCTCCTGCATATGATTTATCTTCTATTAATGAAAAATAGGTAGAAATATTTAATATCTAATAATTTTATCATTTAATAAATTTTCTCCTACACTCACTGGATGGATTTTCTGGAGATTAAAAGTTCTAGCTATAAAATGAAAGAATACCTAAGAATAATGACATCATACAAATAGCAACATTACAAAATTCATGAGTTGCTATGATCCTCCTTAAGCTGGAGCTTGAGAAGAATCATATGTAACTTAAAAATGAAACTATCTAAAACCCTGGAGTTAATAAGAATATCCACTATTTTATTCTTTTGCCAAAACTATTTCTAGATAAGGCTCTGTGCCAGAAGACATTAAATGGCACAATCATGAATCAACATAAGGGCATCAAAACTAAAAGATAGGATGCCCCTTAACAAAAAAATTCATATGTTTTGAGATATTATGGAAAGAGGAACCATCAACTACTACCCTGAAACAGCAGCCATATCTAAGTTCTTCCATTAGACAGGTGCACTAAAATGCTGAAAACAAGAATATCTCTCCACAATTAAATGTACAGTTATTCTTGCTTACAAGAAAAAAATGCAATTCTTACTTTTTCTTTCCCTGTTTATTTTCTTTTAATTGGTTAATAATCAAAATTTTATCTCTTTTGAGATAAATGGAGAAGGAAAATATAGAAGCTTATGAGCTTGCTATGTCTGACCTGATTCAAAATGCAACAGATATGGGGAAACATGATGAAGTCTTGTGAGATGAGGGGCAAGGAACTTGTAGATGCAAATGTCATAACATCAGCTGACCTTAGTGAATGGTACAAGGCAAAGAGTAACACTGAAGCAACCATAGTTGGTGTTGGTTTGCCTTCTTATTCATTCTTACATTCTCTTCTCTACTCCATCAAAGCTGGATCAGATGGTTTAATGATGACTGATGGTATTGAAGTCACCCATCTGAACCGACCCCAAGACCGGTTGTTGGACTGGTTTTTCCATCCTATATTGGTTTTAAAAGAGCAGATCAAGGTCATAAAGATGGAAGAGGGTGAAATGAGATTTTTGGAGAAGATTGTCCTCTTTGGTGATGATACACAGCGCATGGAGGCTTGGGAAAATGGCTCAATGGTTCCTCTGGATGCTCTCAGAGCTGCTCAAATTCAGGGCATTAGCAGAAGGTATGTGCTGTGTCCCTTTTGCACATGTTTCTGTATCATTGTATTTTAATATTCAGTAGTCTTTGTCTCCCTGAGGAGGAATAGTGAGTCTTTCCTCAGGGCATAAGGCTCAGATTTTCCCAAAATGGAAGAGACATTTTTCTATTGTATTCTCAAAATGATTGACATTATGTTGACTGATAATACATTCTGAAACGCCTACTAAATGTGTATCAAAAGAGTGTTGAATTGATCTTGATCACTATCAGGTATCTAGGATTAATCCTGTTTTGATTGGTAGTGACCTTGACTACTCATTATGACCTGAGCAAGTATTTGACATCAAACCTGATTTAAAATACTCAATTCTTTTATTGACAGTTGATAGATTTTATTGCAAGTCTTAAATTTAGATGTTCAGAATTGGTCTTTGGCCAACTGAAGGAATTTTATTTGGTTAGGCTAAAAAGGAACATAAAATTTTCTTTCCTCCCCCTAATATCTTTTTCTGTATCTTGACAAAGAGTAAATCAGTTGAATAACCTTTCTGAACATACTGCATGTATCTATTGCCAGGCTGATAGGAATGATGAGGAGTATATCAAAGTTCCCAACTTACAGAAGGAGATTTCGCCAGGTAGTGAAGGTCCTGATCACATATTCTGTTGAGAAGGAAGGTCCAACCAGATCTAGTTCAGTCAGATCGGTTGCTTCCATTGAAACTGTTTAGGCTGAAGTTAAGCCAAGTCTTCTGTTCATGTTTGTGCTTATTTTTGTTTTGTTTTTGTTTTTTTTTTTTTTTTGCTTCCTAGCTTAAATTATTATAATTAAAAGGAGATCGAAATCCAATTTCCTTTATCTTGTAATTAACATTCGGCCTCAYTCTAGATGTTGTGGCCTGACAGAACCTCTCGTGTTGTAAATATTCACATAAATAATACACATTTTTTTATTTTATTTGGGGCCATTACCCAAGTTTACCATACAATTCAAGCCTTAAGGGTCATTACCCAATTTTGGTCCCAGGTCTCCCAGCTATTATTTGGGGTCACGAGTGGGGACTGGATGCAGAACTAACCCTTGACATTTTTGCACAAAGTGTCCATTATCAGCCTTGAACCCGCATTCACACGCTTGTCAGCCTATGATTTTACCATTTCGCCAAGTGATGGTCCCTGAGAACGGAAATAGCAGATGTAGCAGCATGATGATGCGAGTACCTGGCTCAACTAGCATCTACTAGTAGAAATGCTGGCATCCCAAATCATCCTATTTTGGGGATCCCACCTTCCCAATGACTATTAAATGGACATTCTATTTCAGAAGACTGAAAAAGGAACCCCTTACGGGTTGGTTGATTTGGATCATTCAGTGACTTGACTGACATCCATTAAGTCCAACAATGGTGTTATGATTATAAACAGAGAAACCCGCCTAGCTGAACTTTTGTTTATTCCTACACTAGAACCTTAATTGAACTATAATTTGGACCCTGTGAACTGGAGTACAAAATCTTTGGATGCTTACCTACCACACTAGTCTGTCAAGGACCTTTGAGGAATAAACTATATGCTCTGACAAAGATGAAGAAGAAATAGATGTTTACACTTACAGGGAGAACACCAAGAAATGACACCCAAACGCTTGAATTGAGTTCGGAGCTTTGACGCTGCAGACTCGCAAGCTTTCGTTGCTCCCATGGTCGTAGCAGAAGCGAACTCCACTCTTCTCATCTCTGAAGTCTGAGTGAGTTTGCCATAACAATTGGCTACCTTTTAATTTTGAATTAAAAAGAAAAAAAAAAGATGCGTGGTAAACAAGTTTGTTTCTCTTTCTCATCTGCTATGTAACCGTCGGTGACGGTGATGAGCCCAAGAGAAAAGAACAACGATGTATATATTGTCATCTCCACTGTCTTCGTCTGAGATGTGTGGCTATAGATAATATTAGAACTTAGAAGCGATGAAATCCGGTTTGCGTAGCAAATCATGGTTCATGATGAAGCTGATATGATATTTCGTATCGGTTCAGTATACTGGAGACAATTTGAACTTCATTGAGCCATATTGACGCGTTCGACCATTTGCATTTGCGTAATTATGTAAGATTGTTGAAACTTTGGAAAGGTATAGAGTAGAAACAGTCGGGTCGTTACGCACAAGAATTTTTACACAAAAAGATTCAAGGATCCGTAATCGATAATAGCAAACAGTTTTTTTTTTAATCAACAACGTAACCCCACAAAAAGAGGATGATGCATGGACCTAATTAACAAGCATCCAATCCATGACACTTCTTACCAAGAAGCAATAGGAACTCATCTTAAACCTTTAAATCCTTCCACAGAATTCATCCCAGCTAAACTGTAATATGGAGTCCATATTCTGTTGAGCTCCTTCCATCATTTGCAAGGCCAACTCAACCATGGATTCTTCGGGAACGAGGAATTCATCATTAGGTTCCATCTCTGTTTGCAATGATACATGATAGGCATCATCAACAGCTGCATCTTGACTGTGAGGCTTGTTCTCTGTCTCTCTGGTTTGTGCATTCTTGTACGCATCCATTTCTTGGTCATACCGTTCCTTGTCCCTCCTACTCTCCTCAATGTATGGCTGCAAGAAAAGAAACTTTCCATACTGAATATGATGTTCAAAGGTCTCAAAACTAATCAAATTTCAGGCTTTCAGCGCAACATCTGTCCTAGGTGAGATCACTAGGATTATATTGGAAGAGTATGTCTCATTTGATCGCTAGACAGATAACTTGAATTTGAATGCTATAAAATGTAAAGAAGAAAAAGCTTCAACCCATTTCAACCTGTCGATCACTCTCAGAAAGACATTTCCATGCATCGTTTGCCATTTTACGGATGTCTTTGCCCGATCGTCCTCCATGAATCTTCTTTAACAGATTGCATTCCTTGGTCAGGAAAATCTGGTATGCATTCTTTGGTCTCCGCGGAGCATTTGGATCCTTGTTTCTGCCTTTATGCTTTGATGATGACTGCACAGATGGTTCTTGGATTGCAGTGAGCATGCCCACTGGCTGCGAATCATGATCTTCCGGACCTACACCTTCCATTAAGTTGGGGATAACAGCAAACTGCTTTCCAGCAGATTCATCAATGTGACAGAGAAAACCATCCAATTTTTCTGAACCAACCATGACTGTTATCAAGTAGCCGCTGTTAAATTCAGTTTCAATCATGCCTATGACAGTCTTACCTAGTTGGGCCCCGGGATCAACTGAGAAAAATAAATGCATAAGCAAATAAAGATGAAAATGAGAACACAAAGAAGCCTTTCATGAAAGAAAGAGAAGAGAATAGAAAACCAGAGAGTTGACCAGAGGCTTCATTGATGGGGCTGGATCCATCAACAACTCCTGCGAAAAGCAGCATTTCGAATAAAATAGAAAGGGTATTTTGCAAGAAACTTCTTTACATCCAAGAAAGAAAACGAAGCCACAAGATAGATGGGACCTCAATAGTGTTAAAACAAAATCTGATGTTCAGACCACTGTCCTGACATTTGGCTCTTCTGAAACAGGACTGGGCTTTGCATTTTTACGTACCATAAGTTCCGGATGACTTCCGAAGCATCTCTAATAAGCAGATCAGCTCAAATCGATAAAGGATCTGTTTATAAATATCGTGAAGTTGAAGACAAATATCTGCATCTCTGTTGGTCAACTTCAATGCAGATGCAACTTCAGCCCATTTTCCATCTCTACTAACCTGAGAGAAATGTAATTTGGCTGAACTTTGAAGCTAAAAAAAAAAAAAGCTTATGCACCTAAAATCTATTACTAAGGTATAAGACACTTGATYAATCATTTCTTTTTACTACAAATTGAACCAATGGAATAGAAACATAAAAAGAGACTTTATAACTACAAGAGAAACATTATTAAAAGAAACAGGGTGAGATATCGTAGCTCCTCTTTTTGCCTCCAGAAAAACTTACTCTCCTGCGAGTTTCTAAACTACCCAGTACTAAAACCAGGAAGATCATCCCTTTGATTATTTTAAAACCATCACTAGACATTTGGATGTTACAAGGGTGGTGTTGCCTGCTTTAATTATTGTAGAGAAGATTCAAAAGTTTTAATTTTTTTCCGTAACTACATAGGATGAAGTAGAACCAGCTGTTTGAGAATTATTTTGGCCTTTTAACTCAAAACTGTCAATTGTCGATACTTCAACCCACCTGATTATCAACAACTGATCCCTTTATTTAAGCCTGATATATCCATCGTCAAATAATGACTCCACTTCTTTCTCCACTGTCTTACAATTCTAGTTGCGGTTTCCTTCTATTTCTCCCCCTCCACTGCCGGCCGGGAAAAAGCTGCATTAATTACTAACTCGAAAAAGGGATAATAAATAATAATCGAACATGTTGCATTACCAACGGGCAAAGGAGATGAGAAGGTTTGGTGGGGATCAAACAAGAAATAATTTACCTGTAGAAATCCTCCTCTCATCGTGACTTCTTTGTAAAGCAGATACAAGTCCAAGACTGCGTCCCCCACTTCAACACTGTCACCATGATAGTACTCGATTCAATTAATGTCAGCTGAAAATTGAACCAGAGATAGGGGAAATCGAGAGCAAAGCACGCTAAACAAAATGAGCGAAGAACAAAAAAAGAAAAAGAAAAGAAAAGATGGCCAACGTCAACTTCAAGTTATAAAAAACTTTCTGCGACMAATTCGAAACTCAAGAAACATCTCCAACGAAGTTCTAGAATCAAAGAAACAAAGAATCCGGAATCTTAAAAATGGTTCGTTTCATTAATTAATAAACTCACTGTAGACTTGGTTGAGATGGGTCATGAAGCTTCCTGAGTTTGTCGTAGAACGCGGGCTCGTCTAAATCCGGAAACATGGGTCCCTGCGGCTTCGAGCTTAGGGAGGAATCGTCCTGATGAGCAACTGTGGGCGTCAGCGCAGACGCAGAGGCACTCGCTCCCACAACATTCGAACTCTGAGAAGAGCAATCTAACGACGACGCCTCCGCTTCGACCTGCATATTGAACAAGAGCAAACCTCAACTGCATTAATGACTTCCACGAATTTGAATTTGTACGTGAACGACAGCAGCGTTGCACCAAAACGTGAGTATCAGTAACCATAAAAGATGCTCGATCGTTCCCTTACGACGGTAAATATATGGAGGCTGGAGAGCCTGGAGGGCAAGTGAAAAATGTAAATATAGTAGCCTACACGTTTCGCACATGCAATTAATAAGGATTACAGCTACGTGGGTTAAGGGGAAGACTACAAGTTAACGAGTTATAACCTTTTATTTGACGATAATGCCCTTGTTTTTTTTTTTTTTCTTTTTTACTTTTTCTGTTTTACGCTGCTGGCCTGTTTTATTTTTTATTTTTTTTCTTCTCAAATCCCTGAGGAACCTAAAAACAAGGTGATTTCTCCCTATATCTTTTAAATTTTAGAGTAGAAAAGAGGGCTGGTGGATTTGGGCAGGGGATGACAATTGCCAAATATTATCGGTGGAGATCCAATACCCAAACAGACGGCCTACAGGCAAGTTGGCAGGTTGAAAATACAAAAACGTGTCATGTAACAAAATCATAAATAATTCAGATTTCAAACAAATGCATTTTTTCTGTGATTTGATATAAAAAAAAGCACATGCAGATTATATTTAACGTGTTAGGTTATCCCCACATTGGGAAGCCATCTCCACCACCAACCAGTTTGTGAGTACATAATTGAGATTTCAGACACTCATATCTGCGCTTCATCAACATGAACAACAAAGACAATATCACAATTTCAGTCGAAGAAAATTACAACGTTTATTTCAGAAGCGGTTATATCTTATTACTTTATATTAATTAAGGTAAAATGGAAAGACTTRCGCTGTACTTTGGAATATTAACACTTGGGCCTCGTTCATTTTCCAAAATTTACTGAGGGATAAGTTGGTCAATAAAWTGATCATTTTATCTGCGTTTGTTTTTCACTATAATGGGCCAATGTTACTCAAGGGCATCAGTTATCYGGGTATTGTGTTCTCTCTTCTTATTATGAATCCAGATCTTCTGGCCACAATATCATGTCATCGCAGTGCCATATATGCAGAATATGCCAATGCTGTTGTAGATAGACGGGGCAGGGCAGCACGTCATCCTCCTTATCCAGGTAAATAAAAATGAACGGGGCATTATGGACTTGGATCCCTGAACTTTCTTTTACGACAAAAAACAGTTCCGAGTATTTTTTAATTTCCAATTACATTGCTCATGCCATTAGGATTCCGTCAATTTTGCATTTTTATGAGACCATTGTACCCGTCCTTCAAAACTTGAATCCGATGCAACAAGAGGGGGCAAAGTGGTCAAAACAGACGAAATGAACTTTGCTACAAATTCTTACAATCCATAGAATAATGAATACCGCCACTTGAGTAAAACTATCATTACGTATTACGTAGTAGGCACTAGCTGCAAATTCTTACATTCAAGACTTCCTCTTATTTCCAGTTATAATTCTTCTCCAATTATAAAACTTAGCTACCTGTACTCTTTACCCCCCAAAAAAACTACCTGTACATTTCATGCCTGCATAAAATCACAAGAACAAGCCTTAGAAATATCCTTTGTTGCCATAAAAAAACAGGGTTAACACCTCACACTCACAGATGTGCTTTCTGTGTCTACGTCTCTAGTTTTTGTGCATCTCATGGGAACAAATGGATAAGATTTGCTTGCATGTTCATGGAGATCTTTGAATCTGAATGGCGCCCATACTTCCATCCCGCAAATTCATAAGCACGCTACAACGAAATTTCTATGTATGTCAGTCTTATAGTCTCGAGCGACGTATGCATCTGATGGGATTAAAAGGTGCATGCCTACGCACAGAAGAAAATGGCTTTCCATTCAAAGGACCAGGCGGTTTTACATCCCATCCTTCAATGTTCTTGGGGACACACACGTCAAAGAGTATTTGACCCAGAACCCCATATGCATTGATTCTTGGCGGGTTCTGCACATGGACCAATCCTTCCCTCCGTTCATCTGGCACTGACCCCACATCTCTACCCTCCTGATAATCCACTGAGCTAGGCAAGAAGAAATGGTCACTCGGCCCAATAGCAACTCTGCGTAAGCTCTGATTTGAGCTAACCGCTACTTTTCGAAGGGTACAGATTGACTCAGATATATCATCATATGACCTTTCCTCTCCCATCCTTTCTCCTTCAAGTTGTTGAATCTTTCGGGCATAAACTAAAGCAGCCTTCCCAAGCAATTCAGTCACAGCAGCCTTATAATCAGTTGGGTAATGTCGGTAGTGACCTGTGAGGCAACAATTCAGATGAATAAGATTCAATAAGGTAGAGCCATGGCAGTATCGAATCATTGGAAAAAGAGGAATCATATGGCGGTGTTTGGCATGCTTTAGGACTTTCTGATTCTGGTTCTTGTGCTCTTAAGTCTTGATTCTTAAAACAGTATTCAAAGTTTGGATAGCAAGAATCATGAGAATGTTTTTCAGCTCAAAACTCATCCCACAAGCATTTGCAGAGCTGAACAAGTTGGCTTCCCAAAAGAATGATTTCCAGCTTAAAGCTCATTCATAATTATCCATCCCCCTGAATAGAGTTGATGCCAAATACCGACTATGCTACAAGAAGGAATAATTACTTGTGCATTCCTAGGAAAAACTATCTATTTTGTATCCAAAACTCAATACAAAAAATCATATCTAAGTTTGTTTGGAGTAACATATTTGTTATCACATATGAAACAGAACTTAATAATGTGATAACCACAGTGCAGATACCAGTTAAGTTTATTAGTACCATACCTACATGAGGGGAGCCATTCCATTTCACTAGTTTCACATCACCCCCAAGGCCTTGCAAACGTTCAGCAAAATTACATATTATTTGAAAGGGAGCAAGCTCATCATCTTCTGAGCAAAAAATTAGAAATGGACCCCCAATGCTCTGCCAAAAATACATGCACGAAGATGGTCAATATAGCAAAAGAAAGGGGAAAAAAACAGACTGACTACATGGCTGTACTTCATATGAATAAACTTACAACTGAGGAGTAGAGAGTCTGCCAATACTCAGCACGCTGTGATTCAAACCTATTCAGGAATAGGGCATCCAGGCCAGAAGAAATTCCATTTGCTATCCATGACATCAGTCTAGGTGGACGAGACATTTTAAGAACTGTGGGATGAAGAACAAATCGAGTACCCAAATCACTGGTAAAGTCTGTAGGACTAGAATCATAAATATGACCACAAAGGCAGTCTCTAACAAGCCGATGCCCATCCTAAACAAAAAAAAAGACAAAAATAACTAAAGGTAAACCAATATTAGTGTAAAAAAGTCTTRATTCACAAAAACAGCACTAACCAAAGCCAGAGTACAAATTACCGGGCACCTAAAACATACAAAAACATAATAGATAAAGGTAAAAAGTCAAAGATAGCCTAGCCTGATCCACAACTACTTTAGGTCATTAGGTAACATAAATAGTACAATATTTAGAGAATAGAGGCAAAAATAAATTAGAGAAAAATTGCAAAAAAGAACACCTACCAGATTAAGCATGCCTTCACACTTCCCATCAATTATCTGCACCATAGGGGAAATAATAAATTCCCATTATCAAAAGAGAAACATTGAAAACCAATGATTCATTAAGATCCACCAACGGTTTAGAAACCAAAACAACAGGTTAATGTCTTAATCTCAACTGCAGGTCTGCAGCACATGAGTGAAAAAGGTTAGGTTTCCAAGTCCTCAAAAACATTACCTGAAGAACCTTGTACATGCAAGCTTTTGGACCCCCAGAAAAAGCTGCAAAGACGACAGGGGAAGGCCTAACCCTAAGTTCCTGCATTTCCAAAGTGAATAATAACTTATTAATGGAAATTACACCACCTGTTGAAAATTCGAAATTCAATCAAAATTATAAGCTACTCTACTGCTAGACTTACTTTCCAAATTCAGTGGAAACTCTAATTCTAACGAGTAATATTTTTTTTTGATAAATAATGAGTAATAATTTACTGATAAGGCTAATTTCTAAATAGGGAATCAGTATTGCCAGAGCATGTTTTTGTTAATGACATGGGACTGTTTTGTTTACATGTTCTTCCCAATTTTTTTTTATCCATGTTTTCCCCCATTATTTGTATAAATAATTGTTTCCTTCCTGGAAAAAGAAAAAAAAAAAAAAAGCATGTGGGACAAAATAGTCAACTTCCATCCAAATATGGCACATATGACTGGGTAATTTGGTCTGAATCAAATAGAAGGTATTATATTCTCAAGTACAGCAGTATATATTGGATAATAAGTTTTCAATTCATCTAGATCCCACCCGACTAATATTCCTCCTACTCTTTCAGCACCAGAGCAGAGACCTGGACCAGATTGTAGCCTGATACAAGTTATTGTGAAATATCAACTAAGTGAATCCATAGAAAGATTGAACTTATAGTTGATGTACTATAATATACCAACCTTGGCCAGCTCATTGAGGACACCAAATGCTAGTGATGTGGCCTTCTCAGGGAAGAATCTGCACAGATTTGATATCGAAATCCAAAAAGCAAAATAGGAAGATGATTTTAGTGTTTAGAATTAAACTATTTCATTCAGAAAGCAGCAACACAGAAAATAAAAGGAATTAAACAATAATTTAAAATTCTAAATGACCTAAAATGATGGGCAGGAGCTTGACCATTTATCCACAAGCGATGTACCCTTTAAAGATATACATTTTGAGCCCATAAAGAATTGGCGATAAAATCATGGAACTGCTGAGGGAAAGATGTACAGAAATAGAAACTTGGAACTTTTGGGGAAGCAAGAGATATGGTGGTCTTGAGCTAAGAAACATCCCTCTCATTCTGGTTCCTACTCCTGTGCTTCCTTTTTTAAGGCCCTTACCCAACCTCCCCTTAACTCCTTTCAATCTTTTCCTGTCAAGGAGGTATGGTGTAAGCCTATCCCTCCTAGAATTGGGGCTTTTTGCTGGGAAGTTGTATATGGAAGAATTAAATACTTTTGACTGGTTTCAAAGAAAAAGACAAAAGCAGTGCTTATCCCCTCATTGGTGTATTCTTTGTAAAGCCAATGGTGAGACTTGCTATCAATTATTTATTTCTTGTCCCTTTGTTGTTGGCATTTGGTAATGGTTTTTCTCCTTATTTGCAAGTGGACTCCTCTGAATGAGATCGCAAGTCTCTTTGCTGATTTCCTCCAACAGCACTTGCATGGCCAAAGACGAGGGGGAAAATTATGTGGAGACATACAAGGGCAGCAATAAGCTAGACAATATGGGAAGAAAGAAATTCAAGGATTTTTATGGAAAAGGAATGACCTAAGGAATCATTAATTGAGACCATAACAATTGGAGTTAGGGCTGTCAATGGATTAGATATTGGTCCAACCCAACCTGGTCCAGTATGAGTTCCATTACAGATGGACCASGTCCAGTCCAATCCAATGAATACTTTGGACCATTTTGGACTGGTCCAATTCAATGTCTAGACCGTCCAATCTGTTCAAATTGGTTTTAATTTAGATTGGGTCTAACCAAAACCTAGTCCATTAACACCTATACTCTTATCTTTGGTCAATGGACCAGATTTTAGTTCAATCCTACCTAGTCCAATATAAATCCATTACAGATGGTCCAGGTCCAATCCAATCCAATCCAATAAATACTTTCCACATTAAGTATGGACTTGTCCAATTCAATGTCTTATTGGTCCGTCCAACCTGTTAAGACAGGGTCCAACCCAAACCTGATCGGCTGATCCATTGACACCCCTAATTAGAATGGTTCATTGATTGAAATCCTTAGATGCTTTATCACGTCTCCTTCAGTGATACACTTAGTCCATGTTCGGGAGTGCTTATTTTTAAGTGTTTATTTGAATAAACACTTATTTTTTGGCCAAGACCACACCAATAAGATTTTTTTTTCGCATTAGGGAAATAAGCCCAAAATTAAGATGCCCAAATTTTGAGCTTATCTTTAAGTGCTTATTTCCTTTCTGGTCAATCTTGRCCTGCCACATCATTTTGAAAATGCCTATACTACCCCTGTTTGAAATAGTGCTTTTTCACCAAACACTCATGAAAGACAAGCACTCCCAAACAGGGGCTTAGAAAGTGGAAGGAGATGGAGAATTCAGCCATCAACAGGACTATAGTCACTCCTGTAAGGTCTCCACTGAAAAGAGGGTTTATCAACTTAAAATTTGATGGAAGTAGCTTGGGAAATCCGGTAATCTCAGGAATTGGCGGCCTATTCAAGGATGAAGAGGGTAAAGCAACTGCTTTATTTTCAGGTCTGGCTGGTGACAGAGACTCTTTAAGAGCTGAAATGGTTTTGAAGGAAAGGATGCAAAGGGCAGGAAATATGAACATCGAGAAGCTACTTATTGAAGGGGACTCCAAATTGGTAGTGGCATGGCTTCAAAGTGAGGACACTAAGCTGTTGAGATACAACAATGTGAAGAAAAAATTTAGATGGATGAAAAAGAGTATGGAAGTAAGGATACAATGGGTTAGTTGCTGTATGTTTCGATGACATTCCCACAAATGACTTGCTTAGAAAGTCAAAAAGGTGGTGGCTGATTCTTCTTTTCCAAGAGTTGTTATAAGGCCTGTTTGGGTCCTACCTCCTAGTGGGTTTATTAAGCTGAATTTTGATGGTAGTAGTGAGGGGAATTCGGGCCCTTCAGGTATTGGAGGTGTTTTTGGAACAAGGGAGGAGTTATTGCCCTTTACTCGGGGCCAATAGATGTGGGAGACTCCTTGAGGGCAGAAATGTTGGCTGTGATGAAAGGGATCCAAAAAGCCAAGGAGGTAAATATAAGAAGGTTGATCATAGAAGGGGATTCAAAGATGGTAGTTAGCTGGCTGCAAAAAGATGAGACTGGCTGGTGGAAATTTGTCAATGAAAGGAGGGAATTTAAATTTTTAAAACAAGATATAGAGATCAAATTGCAGTGRGTTAAAAGGAGTGCAAATGCCTTTACTGATGCTTTGGAAAAGCAAGGGGTGGGAAGGGATCAACTCTTTTGGGCTGTTCTGTAATTGCTGCATGTTTTTGTCATCTTGGAGAGAGTTAAGAAAGTTTATCTCTCTCCAGCATGTTCACTTGTATCTTCTTCATTAATTAATGAAATTTTCTGGTTATTGTCAAAGAAAGTTGCCTCGAAAGGACATCATAGACAAAACTGTCAAARAAAGTTGCAATTTCCTGCCTAGGAGGGTGGATAGAGAGAGGGGAGAGCAGGAAGATAAGCACAGTTGTATAAGAAAAATCCAGCTATCGAATTAACTCCACAGCTTAAACAGGTTATCTAGATTGTACAGCCTGTGAATGCTTCTTTTCTTTTCTTTCTTTCTTTCTTTCTTTTTTTTTTCTTTTTGAAGAAAGGTAAGGTATATTGTATTAAAACCAAAAAAAAAAGTAATTGGTTCTCTGTACAATGAGATACTGTACACATTAACCCTTTTAGGACCTCAAAAAAAAAAGTCCTCCTGCAAAAATGTATATGGTCCTCTAACTATTTGACATACTTAATCATGTAAGTTATGCTCCTTCGACAGGTTGCACGCCTATCATAAGTAAAAAACCAAGCAAGGCCTACTTAAATATGTCATCTCTGCAACCTATACTAAATTCCCTATTCAGGCATTCCAGCTTAAAATATAATAGCATTGTTCACCTAAAAAAATAAATAAATAGAACTACAATTGAGAAGTCTATACTGCGTGTCAGGTTGAGCTTTCTTCACTTAAGCATGGTATCGATTTGTATTGGTTTGTACTTTCAAAGGAACCTTTCAGTTCTTTTAAGCATAGAATGCAGACTTTTAAGTTTCCAAATTATCAAATTAAAGCAACAGATAATACTTAATTCATGTTCACCTTCATTCTATTACAACAATATCTGCTAAAATGGTTCTTATGATCAGCAACTTCTTGATATCCTTACAAGTTTTCTGCATCCTCATACTAAGCTGCTTAAAGTATTTGAAGTGCATACATATTCCACCTGGCCACCCCTGTTATATCCTTAACCTGGATTATGAGTTTAAGCAGATGACTTAAGTCCACTTCAAAGGCCACAACTTTTATGGATACGTTAAATAGCAGCCAAGAGAGGGAGAAAAATAAATATCGTTTTATTCGTAATCAGTAGAGCAAGGAACTAATGCAACAAGTACTATAATGTCTTCTCAATCCCTAACAGAGGGTCCACATATCCTATATTCTCATATCTCCACTACCAAGAATGTAGAACGACGTTCAACCAATCCCATCTTTAAAAGATGAAATCAGCATGTTCAATCTCCACTCAAGCACTTAGGTCGTCATCTGGCTGACGAAGATCAACCTCCCAGCGTATGCATCTCTAAATTTGATAAAAGGCATGTTGTCGGTTGATCTAAATTCATGATCTTAAGTTCCCCCCTCCATTTCCCAAACTAACTCCGAAACTATATTTCTACAGAACAAAGCAACCAAGTAAATTCACCACAGCTCAAAACTATAATACTTGGAGCTAAACCTCCAATTTAACAATCTGAAGTAAAGCACAACCCAAGTTCGGGAATTCAGTCGAATTTAACAGAAGAACAAGCATCAGAAGTGAAAGAATACATTCTAAGCAAAGAACGAAAGAAAAAAGAAATCATCAAAAAACCAACTAAGAAAATTAAGAAGAAGGAAGGAAGGAAGAAACCGAAACATTAAAAAAAAAAAGAAGGCAAAAGACCAATTAAGCAAATTCAACTTACAGATTGAGAAAATCGGAATGACAGACCAGGGAATTCCATCCGAGAGAAGCGTAGAGCTTAACGTACGAGTTTACATGCTTCTCCTGACTGGACATCCAAGCGAACAGCACGACGATTCCCTCGACCTTCCCATCCTCCTTTCTTCCCCAATAAAATCTACCCCCATCTCCCCACATCTCCACCTCGTCGGAGGGCCAAACCAGATAACTTTAAGGTTTTGCCCACTTTCCACTCAAAAAACCCTAACTCCTGACCGGAGCTCAGATTAAACAGACATGGAAACAATGCAAACACAAAGACGGCCAAAGAGGAGGACAGAAAGACTCATTCTACTCTCTCTCTAGCTTCTAGGGGAGGAAAGATGCGGAGGAACAGCAGTAGGTAGAGTTCCGTCTGGGTTTCGCCACACGGGTTTCCTGCTTGAAACTCTCTGTATGAGAGAAAAATCAGACCAGAAAGCAGAAAGCCATTGTCTGATACTGCTAAAAATGGTAATGGATGGACGAAGCGGAGGAAAGAGTGCGTATGTTAAGCGGCTACCCAGTAGGCGCACGATAAGGATTACATTATCTTTTTGGCTTGATCCTGCATCAGACAGATTCAATGACTGATTGAGAGGAGGCACGTGCTTTGTATTTTATAAGCGTGCGAGACCAACAACAAACTGTCACCTTTTGCGTCAAATCTCTTTAAAGTACTGCTAAGCCTTACAAGTTACTATCGATTTCAACCCCACAACTCCGATGGGGTTAAAGGCCCATACACTGGGAAGAGACCGGATCTGCTCCTCATACAGGGCGCCTCACTCGCGCTTTACAAGCACATCGTATCTAATACATGTATTGGGAATATCTCTCGTATTTATAACTTATTATTCACGGGAAATGTTCTCAATGCACGGTGGATGTGCATGTGAGGCGCCTCCGTATGAGGAACAGATCTGTTCCCATTGAGAATATCTTTTGTTTTTCAATGAGAGATGTTCTTAATATACGACTATAATGGTTTGTTGAAACAGTGTTGGGAGCGTTTATTTATGGTAGATCTGAAATCGATTGGGAGATTCGCTTGGAAAACAATTCTCTAGTCTCCATATATAATGATTAAAGATTTCCGAAAAATCGCGCTGATTTGCAGTCAACCGTCGGATTATTGTTGTTATCTATTCCAATCCAACGGAGAATGTACCAAAAAACCGTTGCACGGAGATGAATTTATCAAATTACCATGAATATTGACTCGAAATAAATTTTAGAACAGAAGCAGGGTGTCAGGGTTCGTATCTGCTACTCATAGAGCGCTCAGCATGTATCAGCCGAACATCAGGAATATCTCTCGAATAAGGTAGGATGTGGAATGTGGATAATGAATGATGAATGATGAGTGAATCACCATCCAAATCGTGCCATTTCAGCTTTCGTAGCCAAGTTGGCATCAAGTTTCGAGAATTACCATCCTAATCCAAGACTGATAGAAAGTTCTGGTGGGCCAAAGCCAAGCGACTTTTGGATCCGGTTTCCTCAAAAGGGTTCGAGCCCAGCACCGATCGGGTTCCAAACGAAGACCAAGCGGCTAAAAAACAACGCACGAATTTGCATAGTTAAAAGTTATCTGGTGGACACTGGACAGATCCTAATCTTCTGTTTATGCAAGTAGAGATAATGGAGAGAAGATTTTGTTGACAAAACCACATTTCTTGTTCAAACTGGCAATCACATAAATAGTTGCAACCTATCAATTAATATGATAGACCCACGTATCCAAGTGGAATTTTCTTTTCTTATTTTATCATTTTATGACTATTAAGAAACGCAATGGACTCCATATTCTGAATTTTCTAATTTACATGCATGTGATGAGAAAGAGAAAGAGCATATCACAAAGGTGTGGTTTCACGCCAGTCCCAGTGTAAAGATATCGGCCCATGTATTTAAATATTGGCTTGGAATCTTATCATCGGTTTTATGGCCCACTCAACAGTTTAAGCGTTTAGCTAAATCTAATGCTAAATAGATTTAAGTTTTAACAAATCATCCTTTAGAATACAGCTGACAAGAATTATCTTTTCTGTATTATTAGCGGGGACATGTATAGAAATACGTAAGAGTATATAATTGTTTTATATTTTAATAACTAATCTGATCAAATTCGACTCAATTTAGACAAACTCTCGACCTAASTAGCTCAATTTGGTTGGCGAAAACAGCATGCAACCAAACTGAACCAATACTTGAAYACTCCTAATTGTAGCTAAATTAATAGTCTAATATCTAATAAATAACAATAGTTTAGTATATGTTTGGCATCATACTGCATATGAGAAAATGATGCTGCAAATGTGTGGGTTGRAAGCATCATTTTTTGAGAAAATGATGTCATTTTTTTTTTGTTTGGAATGGTTGCTGCCAAGTAGGACGTTTCCTGGAGCAACAACAACTTTCTCTTTGGTACCAATGCTCTTCAGCACTGGTATCCATTATCCAGTGCCACATCATTGTTCTATTGGCAGCAACAAGCTACAACTCCAAGAAACACCAAATTTGGCGTTGCTCCAAGCCATGCCTTCCCGATTTCCGAGGTGTGGCTTGGAGCACCGTTTTAATGGAAAAACGATTCCAAATAAATGCCCATTTCTTGGAGCACCATTTTTTTCTGACGTGGCACTGATGCGGCACCGTTTTTTGGACCAACGACAACGATTCCAAACAAATGCATAATCTCCAATAATTATTGAGAGTTATAGCAGAAATACACAATTATTGAAAATAAATTTATAATGAAAATACAATAAATATCTAATATAAATATAATAATTACAAAAATACAATAAATACTAAAAATATATTAAATTAGTCAATAAATAGTGTAATCTCAAAAAATAGTTTAATCTCTAATAAATATTAATCGATAAATTATATAAAATAAATAATTAGTAGAAATAAATTTATATCAAAATTATAATAAATTAAATTTCAAAAGTTCAATAGTAGTTGCTTAATATCCAATAATTATTGAAAATATTCTCTTAAATAACAAAACAAATATATATTTATAAATAATTATTGAAAATGTATTTATCAAAAATTACAATAAATAATTATTGAAAATACAATAAATATTAATTTTATTATATACAAATATATAATGAATATACACTATTATTAAAAAATTATTACTAATAAATATTATTTTTTTTGAAAGTTATTTTCTGTAATTATTAATTGATATAAGTGAAATTATTTATTTACAATATTTTTTAGTTACTTAAATAATATTGTTATTTAAACTTTTAAAATATTAATTATTTATTGAATCTAATAGTTCATAAATTTATAGTGATTACTATTATTACATAATTCGTTATTAATTTTGTAAAATATTAAATTATTATTAATATGAATATATGAAATCGGTTCTAATTATTTTTCTACTTTTGAGAAAATATTTTAAATTTATTACATAAGTTCGTTATTTTAACTATTTAAAATTTAGTCATGTTAAATATTTTGTTACTTAAATATTTAAATAATATGTAAAATATTTAAAAATTTCGTTACTTGAAGTTAATTTATTTTAAAGTTTTATGTAATATTAAATATTTTGTTATAAAATTATTTATCTATTTTTAATGTATTCTTATTTAAGATATTTAGTTATTTAAATATTAAATAATATAATGTTAAATTTGTATTATTTGAATAACATTTGAATTGAATCATTCATAAAAATATAATTTATATTGTTACTAAATAATTTCATGATGAATTGTGTAAAAATATAGAATTTTTAATAATATGAATATTATTAAATCTATTATAATTATTTTTTTTTTGTTTTGAATAAATATTTTAAAGTTAGTATATAATTTCTTTATAATATTTAAGTAATTATGATTTTTTTAAATTAAAACTTTCTTTAGATAGATGTAGATAAAAAGTAGGGGAGAAGATAAATAGGAATTAGTGATAGTTTAGGAGAGAATCTTTGTCCTAAACTAGAAATAATTAATTTAAGAGATAAATAAAAGTTGGAGATAATTTAGGAGGTAAATAGGAATTAGAGACAATTTAGGAGAAAGTGGGGGAAAGTGATGCCACTTGGCTAAATATTAGAAAAGCAAATCCCTCATTTTTTATGGTTGTTAGAAATAATTAAGCCTATGTTGTTTCCTTATTGGTTTAATGGGTAATTATGAGAAATTAAAAAATAAAAAATTCAAAAAAAAAGGAAATTAGGAAGGGGTTTGGAGCAAGGAAAGGCACGGTGACATGGACTTTTTCATATATATATATATACACACACTAGCGGGGACCTGCATGATTAGACCTGTTCATGGGCCGGGCCRGGCCGGGCTCGGGCCGGGCTTTTACTCTTCATTAACAGAAATATGTTAGGCCCGAGCCCGAGCCNTCATTAACAGAAATATGTTAGGCCCGAGCCCGAGCCTGGCCCGACCAACGGGCCTACAACATGGGCCCGAGCCCAGCCCTAATAAAAAGCCCGAAGCCCGACCTAATAAAAAAAATTAGAAATTTTTCCTATTCAATAATCAATATAAATCAGATTTTATTTACATTAAAAAAATATATAGATTCAAAGTTTATTTATATTAATATATATATATATAAAGAAGGGAAAGAGGATGTAGAGAAGAAGAATTCGGTTGGAAAAAGAAGGGAAAGGTCTATGCATGATGCACGGGAAAATCTGAAAGATTGATTAATTTTATTTACTATTAATTAATTGATAAATAATAATCAAAGTTTGTTGTTAATTAACTAAAAATATTCAAATTTATTGTTAATATTTAAAATTTTAATAATTGTATTCTTCATTTAATGTTGATTTATAGAAAATTATTATTATTAACTTAATATGAACAAATATTTTTAATAAACAATCTACCCCATCCCTGCCCTACCTCGTAGTCAAGACACTCTACCCCATCCTCGCCTCATCCTGAATGTCAAGCGGGTTTAGGGAAAGGCACCCACTTTCTATTAGGGTTGGGAATCCTCGAATTTCCCCTCCCTGACCTTAGTGTTGGGCRAGTTCAAGGCAAGGCACCCACTTCTCGTTAGGAATAGAGAATCCTCGAATTTCCCCACCCAGTCCTTAGTGGCAAGCAAGTTCAAGGCAAGACACCCACTCCTAAAAGTGGGTGTCAGGCGAGTTCAAGGATATACCGAGTATTAGACACATGGTAAATTTCTAAAAGTACACTAAATTATTGTCTTTAACTTTCAAAAAATGTAATTTTATGAATATTTTGGAAAATTTATTACATTTGTGTAATTTTGAAAATTTATTCAAATTTATTTTTAAATTATTATTAAATAATTTGTTTTTTTTAATGGTTTACTTACAAAATTACACTAATTTATCTTATATTTTCTAATATAAACTAATCAATAAATTTCTTTTCCCAATATTATACTAATTTATCTTAATAATTTGTGTAATTATTGGTTCAAATTACAGTTTTCCCTTTGTCATACTCATTTAT